CATTCCTGCCCAAAAATAGCCCTGCTGCTTGGGAGCTAGCCGAAACTCTGTTCCTGTGCGTTCCTGCCCAAAAATAGCCCTGTTTATAACCTTAACGAATTTTTGTTGTGCAACTAAAAAGTCTAGCAACCTAGCTACAAAACACCGCAAGACAATATGGGAGACCAAGCAGTGACTTGATTAGCAAAATTCTGCGAAGTGTTTTCCTAGGGAAAAGATATTTCTCCCTTAGGAAGGTGAGCACAGGTGCAGCATAGCACACCGGCCTCTGAACAATCACTAGTAGTTAATATACAGGTGTGTGTAGAGACGGTTTGTTGATAACTTCCACTGCAGCTAAACTCTTATATTTTTACATTCCTTTTTCTGACACAAAATAAGCATTCACCAAACAAACTGATACACAGCAATCCCATGCTTTGCATGCAAAGAGAGCCCCGTAACAGCAACAGGTCTGTGCTAAAAATAAAGTGTAAGAATCACTTGAATTATTATTATTTTTAAAAAAATCAGATTTCCTTTCAGCATAGCTGGGCCACACTATTGCCTTTTCTGAAATGGAAAAAGAAAACCCTAACCGTGCTCCTAACAAATACAAATCATGTGCATGCTATCGTTTGTTTGTTTTTTAAAGGCACGCTGATTAAAAACAAGCACGCCTCTGACTAAGGTGATGTGAAACGTTTGGGGAAGGGTCTTTTCCAAAGGCATACAGATGGCAGAGGGGGAAAGGAGGAAAAAAGTAGCTTGCAATTGTGGACTTCTTTTGGTAAACAGGGAACCCCCTTGTGGTTCGCTTCTCTTTCAGAGCATGAAATTAACTTCATCTCTAGAAGGGTGATCTCACCCGGAATGATGTAATCGCCAAGAAGGAAAGCAGCAGCAGCAGCACAGGATCTGCGTTACAATATGCGGAACTTCGTGAGTGAAGTCCCTTCTCTAAAAATACTTGAGAGGCAATAAGGCACCTTAGAAGGAAGATTCCGAGTTCTCCTTGGTGCACAGAGAGTTGCTGTTTGAGGTCCCACTCCAATGTTCCCTTAGAAGCTTCGGCCCACAACCAATGTTAACCCTTCTTCTTCTTCTTTTTTTGGCTAGCAATTACTACGTTTTTTACAGATTGACACAAAGACTGCAATAAACCAAGAAGGGTTTGCGGGTTTCCTTTTTTCCTACGGCAAAGGGAACGTTGGTCTAATGTATTAAACACACAGTTAAGAGGAAAGCTCTCCAGATTTCGTTGTCTCATACCAAGTAGGAACCCAGACTCACCAACTCCAATTCATCCTCCTCCGACTGTCCTCAGCAAATAAGAGGGATAATAATAAAGTTACTAAGAATAGGGTGGCTCTCAAGAATGAAAGAATCATGTCTGTGCTTGAAGAGTTAGCTATATTTAGCACACTAGCATTTTGAGTTTACAATGCCATTCAGCAAGCAGGGCTGTTACCACGTGCTTGTTTTCACGTGGAGGCTTCTGCACTTTGGCCAGTCTGACCCCCCCCCCACTCCTCAAAACACCCTGCCTACCAGCCCTCCAGAGCCCACGCTGTCTTTACTGCAGTCACAGGGAAAACTCATCTTGGCAACCGAAATCCTGACTTTGACAGGGCAACACTAGTTCTGTTAAAACTCCTTTGGGGAAGCCCACAACTCCCGAACGAAAACTCAGAAGCGTGCCTGGCGGTCTCAGTTGCGCACTGGCAAGTTCAGAGCCTTGGGCGACTAGGAGGGGAAGAAAAGCACAGAGAAATGGCCTTTCCGCACTGCAGGGTTGCGCTTCACAGCCCAACAACCGGCAGAGCCAGAAGGCTCAGGGATGGAAGCTCGGCCTTCAAGCTTCTTGGATCCCCTGTCTTGGGTAGCTCAGCTTTCAGTAAAACTCTCTGGTGTTTCCAGCCCTTACAGAAGAAAAAACAAAACCAAGAAAGGCTCGAAAGCACACTGCTGTACTGGATGCGATCTCAGAAGCTAGGCACAGCAGAAGCTGGATCCTGCCGTTCCAAGACCAAGGCATGGCAGTTGCTCAGACCGCCCCCCCACCCCCGAGGAAGGCATTACTTTTAACAGTCACTTGGGAGATTAAAACCTCTTTGGCTGATTTAAAGCAACACATTAACCACTAAATCACAGGGCTGCTTGGTGACCAGACACTCCCTTAAAACACTCAATCTTTGCAGGGCACAGTCCTGAAAATGTAGGGCAGAAACGGAGATTTATGTGTTCCAGAAGGCACAGTGCCCCGCACAGTTGTTCATGCCATCCAGCGACGCCAGAATTCGTAAACACTCAAATGTACACAACATGGTGAATGTGTGTCGTTTATACGCCAGTAGTGGACTCCAGCTTTTCTTGGTGCAGAACTTTTGTTAAATTGCACACGGCCCTACGCAACGGGAAGGGCTGCTGGCTGGACCAGTGCCGTCACGTCGCAGCCGACTTAGGGCAGTTTTCAAGGCAGGAGACAAACAGCCGTGCGTCCGGCAGTGCCTGCCTCTGCATGGCGACCCTGGACTTCCTTATTGGTCTCCCATCCAAATACTAACCCAGGCCGACCCTGCTTAGCTTCCGAGATCTCATGAGACTGGACTAGCCTGGGTTGCCCAGGGCAGTGCAAATCCAGGAAAGGCGACTTTACAACTCACACGGGATGTAACTGGCAGAGAAATCTGTCACAGGATGTGTTGGCGAGAGTGTACCAAGACCTCTTGAACAGTGCCGGGATTAAAACAAACAAACATGTGATTGTTCCTATAAACATGACCAAGGAAAGACCTGCTCCACACCCCTTTTTTTCACCGGAGATAACTCTGTTCTCTGGGAAAAGTGGAGGCCGAGATATTCCCTCATGATTTCACTGCACACGATCCTTCTCGTGGGTAGGACAGTCAGAAATTCGGTATTCAGGGTAAGAGATCCTATACGCAAATAACTGCAGAATTACAAAGCCCGGATAGTACTTTATCCAGACAGTAAGAGAAACGAGAGAGGAAGTGTGCCCTCTGTTACAGGCATCTAAAAATGCATTTGGGGGGGAAACTGCTCTACCTGCGCAGATGGGCCACCGGGGCAGATCTCACTTTAAAAACACACAAATCGAGAAATTAAACACTTACCAAAGGAGGCATCATGCCTTTGCTAGATGGAGGGATGACGACGCGGAGATCTGGCTTCCGATTGTTCATGTTTAGGTTGCCCCCACCAGGGGGAGGTGGAGATTTCGTGGGCATCACTTTGTTTAGATTATTCCCGCTGCCGGTGCTGCCAAGCAGGCTCGGCGAAGCTCGCGAGTTGACGAAACCATTTCCTACGGTGGAAGAAAGCGGGGGGGGGGGGGGGGAGAAGTGGCTGTTCGCCCCAGAGCAAAATAAAGCGCGGTAGCCCGATCACACAGTCCCCCGAGTCTCCGTGCTTCGTGGCTAATAGCCACTGATGGACCTCTGCTCCATATGCTTATCTAATTCCCTTTTGAAGCTGTCCATGCTTGTAGCACCCACCACTTCCTGTGGCAGTGAATTCCATGTGTTAATCACTCTTTGGGTGAAGAAGTACTTCCTTTTATCCGTTCTAACCCGACCGCTCAGCAATTCCATGGAGTGCCCACGAGTTCTTGTATTGTGAGCAAGGGAGAAAAGCACCTCTTTCTCTACCTGTTCTTTCCCATGCATAATCTTATAAACCTCAATCATGTCACCCCTCAAAGGGAGAATTTGACATGACATCTCAGGCTCACGGTCTGTTGTGTGAAAGGAATTGTTTTCTTAATAGATAGTGGGGATTTTCAGACAGATGAACTGATTGTTTATTTATTTTTCCAAATGTGTAACCCGCCCTCCCAGCTAAGGGCTGCTTGCAAGCGAACTCCGCTTTACATGGTATCATTTCTGTGGGTACACATTAAAAGAAATCTGCCCATTGTAGCGGGTGGTTCCGTGTTCCATTGCCTGTGCACAGCGGAAAGAAATGTACAGCTGCAGGCCCAGGGACTGGTGTCTCTGCAGTAGCCTGCCCATGGCAAAAGAAACACAGGAATCCACTTCCCCTGTCAAGTTTTCAAACTCTGACAGCGGCTTTTTAGGGCATGATTTACCAACTTAGCGGCTGAGGAGTCGCAACAGTTAGGAAGGTGTTCTAAAGCCATCTGTTCTTTTAACGCAGTATTCACAGTTCCTTTGGCACCCGTGTCTGACACATGGTCCTTTCCCCACCCTCACCCTGCCAGAAGGGGCACGGGCCCTACGTGACTCTTGAAGAGCTCGCAAACACTAAGCAGCCCACTGAATATCAGCTGGGCCAATCAAAACGTATTTACTTTTTCCTTTTGAGAAACACCACCGGACCTCATCAATGGTTTATAACTGTGGGCTGGACTGCAGCCAGGCGTCCGTAACGGTAAACACTCCTGGCTTTGGCAAGCTGACCCTTGTGTGTACAGGGAGGACCACAAAATGCAGAGGCAAAGGTTTATTTCACGGGAGCCACAGTTCGCTGACCTCAGCCAGCCCCAAAAGCGGTAGCTGTTTTGTTTAAAAGGACAACATCTCCGACGAAGGGGGGTCCAAAACACATGCTTGCTTCATCTCTCCGTCCCAAACGGCAAGATGCGAGCCCAGGAACACTTTATAGACCAACAAGGTTTCCAGGGGAGACGCTTTCAAGACTCAAAGCTCCCTTGCCCTGACCTGGATAGCCCAGACAAGCCCGATCTCGTCAGATCAGGGTCGACTGTGGTTAGCCCTTGGATGGGAGACTTCCTCGGAATACCAAGTCCGGAGGACAGAGGCAGGCTTTATTCAACCACCTCTCTGAATAGCCTCCAGACCTCCCCCCCAGGGGGGGCAGTCCCCAGAGGTCAACGTGACTTCCAGGTGCGCATCCACGCACAAACACACCGAAAAGAGAATAGAATCGAAGCTCCCTTTAATCAGAGCCTTGACTCGTGAAAGCTTATGCCACAAAAATCCTGTTGGTCTCGAAGGTGCTACTGGAGTCCTGCTCTTCTGTTTTATTTTATTTTTTTTATTTTATTTGACTTATATCCCGCCCTGCCCCATAAGCAGACTCAGGGCGGGTTACATCAGATTTGATAAAAAAAATACAGTGTACAAAAAAAATAACACAATTAAAACAGCCAGAAAATTCTACTAGAGGCCAATGCAGCTACTACCCACCTGAGAACGGCATAGAAGCCGGGGCTTGGTTTGGACACAAGCGAGGAGACTCTTACCGGGGGGGGGGGGGGTGGCGGTCAGACAAG